CCCACCCAGCTGCTGAGCGACCCACCCTCTGCAGATGCATCTAAAGCTGGGTAAGAATGCAAGAGCCGTCTTTGCTTGAACAGACTGACCCAGAATCCATCCCATTGCAAACAAACAAAAATTCAGCCACATTTCAGAACGACAGCACGAAGAAAAACAACATCTGATGTCTCGTCCTAATCCAGCTTGAGTTTCAGTGAGAGATGGGGAACGACAGTAAATCAAATAACTAAATTGCAGCCTGGAAAATGTATTGGTTGGCTGACGGAACACAAACATGCCCGGTATGAGATCAAAGATCAGGGTTGCCTGAAGAAGAAAAAAAGAACTGGTTGGTACCACTTGTGGGACGCAGCCCGCTTTGAAAGGGGACTGTTTTCCGCTGAGGGAGGAGACATCTAGCAGTAGCTATTGGCCACCATGGCTGAGTCGAACCTCCATGTTCAGAGGCAGTACACTGTTCAGGACCAGTTGCTGTGGAGGCAAAAAGAGGGAGCGGCTTCGGCCTCAGCGACCCAGTCCTGGGCCTTCCCGGGGCATTTGTCTAGCCACTCCCTGGGCAAGGACGGATGCTGCATTAGATGGACCCAGGTGGGTCTAGCAGCCGTTACGGTTGCCAGGGCCCCCCTCGTCACAGCAGGGGATAGGGGGGTAAGAAGAAGAAGAGAAGAGATTGGATTTATACCCCGCCCTTCACTACCCGAAGGAGTCTCAGAGCAGCTTACAATCTCGTTTCCCTTCCCCACAACAGACACCCTGTGAGGTAGGTGGGGCTGAGAGCTCTGACAGAAACGGCTCTTTTTCAAGAACAGCTCTGACAGAACTGTGGCTTGCCCAAGGTCATCCAGCAGGTGCAAGTGGAGGAGTGGGGAATCAAACCCGGTTCTCCCAGATTAGAGTCCGCGGACTTAACCACTATCCCAAACTGGCTCAAACTGGTAAGGTTGCCAGATCCAGATCAAACTATACCAAACTGGCTCAAACTGGTAAGGTTGCCAGATCCAGATTGGGAAGCTCCTGGAGATCTGGGGATGGAGCCTCGGGGAACAGGGACCTCAGTGAGGGACAGTGCCCTAGAATTCCCCCTCTAAACCATCCCTTTTCTCCAGGGGAACTGATCTCTGTAGTCTGGAGCTGTAATTCTGGGGGATCCCCAGGCCCCACCTGGAGGCTGGCATCCCCATGGTGTCTGGAGGTCTCCCAGAATCAGAACTGATCTCCAGGTGACAGAGATAAGCTCTCCGGGAGAAAACCAAACTGCAGCCGGAGGGTGAGTGCCAGTGTTCCCTCTAAGCTGAGTTAGTGCGAGCGAGCTCACAGTTTTTTAGCCTCCGGCTCACACATTTTTGTCTTCGCTCAGGAAGGATGGCTCCAGAGCAAACTGACTGATGCAGTAGCCAAATCACTCGCTCACATCTCCAGGTGACAGAGATAAGCTCTCCGGGAGAAAACCAAACTGAAGCCGGAGGGTGAGCGCCAGTGTTCCCTCTAAGCTGAGTTAGTGCGAGCGAGCTCACAGTTTTTTAGCCTCTGGCTCACACATTTTTGTCTTTGCTCAGGAAGGATGGCTCCAGAGCAAACTGACTGATGCAGTAGCCAAATCACTCGCTCACATCTTTAATGCCAACAGCTCACAAAGTAGAATTTTTGCTCACAAGATCCACAGCTTAGAGGGAGCATTGGTGAGCGCTATGGAATTGTACACCACCGAGGTCCTAGGTAAAAGGTTTCCCTTGCTCGAAAGCTAGTCGAATCCGACTCTAGGGGGCGGTGTTCATCTCCGTTTCCAAGCCGAAGAGCCAGCGTTGTCCGAAGACGTCTCCGTGGTCTGGGGAGCTCACTCCGTCACGCGGCACTCGGATCTCGAACTGCCAGACTACAGACCTTCCAGTCTGCAGCTCAGTGTCTTAACATCTGAGGCACCACGGCCCCAACCTTTAGTGAGGTCCCGCCCCTCTCCATACCCCAGAGATCTTGGAGTCGTAGTAGATAACTCAACGAAAATGTCGAGACAGTGTGTGACTGCAATAAAGAAGGCCAATACTATGTTGGGGATTATTAGGAAGGGAACTGAAAACAAATCAGCCAGTATCACAATGCCCCTGTATAAATTGATGTACCCCCCCCAAATCTCCAGGAATTTCCCAACCCAGAGTTGGCAACCTAGGTCTGCTCCTGGTGTAATCGGCCAGCCTCCTAAGCCAGTGCCAAACAGCAGAAGTCGCGGCTGGAGAGGCAAGCCCACCAACACACTGGGGAGTGCCTGGGCTTGCTGGAAAGGGGGCACAGAGCAGGGGAGCTGTGCTGCCACACACTCTGCGAGGGCGGGCAGCTCTGGGGGCCCTGCGGGCTTCGGTCCTGCCGCTTCCTCCTGCAGAGCCACCTGCTGGCTTCTGTCCAGGTGGCCGACCTGCTGCTTCCTCCTCCGTGCATTTCCCCGGGGTTTTAAGGGAGCTTTGCTGGTGCAAGGGCTCTTTTTGTAGCAGGTATTTGCATATTAAGCGACACACCCCTAATGTAGCCAATCCCCCAAGAGCTTACAGTAGCTCCTGTAAGAGCTCTGTAAGCTCTTGGAGGATTGGCTACATTAGGGGTGTGTCACCTAATATGCAAAGGAGCTCCTGCTACAAAAAGAGCCTTGGCCCAAAACACTGGCCAATGGTGCCCCCCTCCTTTCCACACTGACCCAGTCCATTTTAGTGCTTGACCTGTCCGACCAGATAGACAATGCAGGTTGCAGCAATACAGAAATTTATTCCTAGGATAACACAATATGCTGTACAAACCACGCTTTTCACCCTTTCCCCAACTTTGTGGTGCCCCCTTTGGCCCTGGCGCCCTAAGCACGTGCTTAGTCTTCTTAATGGCTAATCCGCCCCTGCTGGTGGAGCAGGTGAGCCTCCTACCTGCACAGAAAGGAAGGGGTTTAACAGTGGAGGGGGGGGATAACTGGGCACCCTCGGCCTGGAGAAAGGAAGGTGAAGGAGGCCAGGATCAGGAGCTTCGGCTGCCCCAGGGAGGAGGGCAAAGCCTCCCTTCCCCATGGTGGCTCCGGAGAGGGAGGCTAGACCTCAAGGAGTGAGTTCAGTGGCGCTTTGGTTGGCAGGGCTGCTTTGGGGGAGCTCATCCGGCCAAGCCAGGGGCCCCCAGCCAGTGTTCCCTCTAAGCTGAGTTAGTGTGAGCTAGCTCACAGCTTTTTAGCCTCCGGCTCTGGCAAAAAAAGCCTAACTATAAATACACGTTGATGGGGTCTGAACTGGCAGAGACTGACCAAGAGAGAGATCTTGGAGTCGTAGTAGATAATTCAACGAAAATGTCAAGACAATGTGTGACTGCAATAAAAAAAGGCCAACGCTATGCTGGGGATTATTAGGAAGGGTATTGAAAACAGATCACCCAATATCATAATGCCCCTGTATAAATTGGTGGTGCGTCCTCATTTGGAGTACTGTGTGCAGTTCTGGTCACCAGAAAAGGATATTATAGCATTGGAAAAAGTGCAGAAAAGGCCAACTTGAATGATAAAAGGGTTGGAACACTTTCCCTATGAAGAAAGGCTTAAAGCGCTTGGGGCTCTTTAGCTTGGAGAAATGATGGCTGAGGGGTGACATGATCAAGGTTTATAAGATTATGCCTGGAATAGAGCAGGCAGAGAAAGGGGTACTTTTCTCCCTTTCTCACAAAACAAGAACTTGTGGGCACTCCATGAAATTGCTGAGTGGTCGGGTTAGAACAGATAAAAGGAAGTCCTTCTTCACCCAAAGAATGACTAACACATGGAATTCCCTGCCACAGGAGGTGGCGGTGGCTACAAGCATGGATGGCTTCAAGAGGGAATTGGATAAGCATATGGAGCAGAGGTCCATCAGTGGCTCTTAGCCACAAGGTATAGATAAGAACTCACAGGCTGGGGCAAGGGATGCTCTCTATATTCTTGGTGCTTGGGGGGGCTTCTAGTGTCCTGGCCCCACTGGTGGACCTCCTGATGGCACCTGGTATTTTTGGCCACCGTGTGACAGAGTGTTGGACTAGATGGGCCATTGGGCTGATCCAACACTGGCTTCTCTTATGTTCTTATGTATTTCTGTCTTAGCTCAGGAAGGAGGGCTCCAGAGCAAACCGATTTATGCAGCAGCCCAATGGCTCGCTCACAACTTTAATGCCAGTGGCTCACCCAGTAGAATTTTTGCTCTCAGGACTCCACAGCTTAGAGGGGGCCTTGGCCCCAGTCCCTCCGTGACCCAGGCTCCCGTTGGAGGGAGGGGATGCCCATTTCCTTGAGGGCTGGGAGGGAGCCGGGCCCCTGCTGCAAGGTTGTGAAACTCCCGGCGGTTTGGGGATGGGGCCCGGTGGCGCAGAGGAGGGAACACACAGGTGACGCAGGCTTAGAGGGAACCAGACCCCCCCCCTCGGTCCACCCAGTCCCAGGTGAGTCCTGTCTTCTCAGACCGGCAGCTGCTCTCCAGGGTCTCTTTTCCCATCACCTCCGACCTGATCCTTTCGACTGGAGATGCCGGGTTTGGGACCCGGGACAAGGCCACTCCCCCCCCCCCCCAAAGCATCCATTTTCTCCCGGGGGAACTGATCTCTGTAGCCTGGAGAGAAACTGCAATTGCGGGGGGGGTGGGGCTGTCCCCAGGTCGCACCTGGAGGCTGGCATCCCTTCACTGCGCGGGGCCTCAGTACCAGGCGGAGAACCTCCGGGACAGAACCAGCTCTGGGGAAAGGAGGAGAGAGCCCGTCGAGGAGGCTTCGGCGGGGCTCCCGCCCAAAGCGGGGGTCAGGCTAGAGGGCCTCTAGGGACCCCTTCCTCCGCGGGCGAGGGACCTCCGGCCTCTGCGCTGCGGGCGCCCTTTCCGCCCGCGGGGCGCAGCCGGGGCCGAGGTCCGTCCGACGGGCGAGGCCTGGATGCCATTCCAGCCAGCCAGAGGAGCCGGGACACCCGGGGGGGGGGGGGGGGCCCCCCCCCCCCCCAAGGGCTCACTCACTCACTCACTCACCTGCAGCGAGTCGCCCGCCGGCGGGGCGAGGGGCGCCGAGGAGACCGCGGACGAGAAGCCCATCGTGGCGGCGGGCGAGGAGGGCGCTGGAGGGAGCGTCCCGGCCAGCCGCCTCCCCTCTCCCTCCCTCCCTCCCTCTCCGGGCTTCCCCGCCCAGGGCCCGCCCAGCCTGCCTGCCAGCCGCCGCGTCGGGGAGGCCGAGGAGGGCACCCTCTTGGGCGAGCACCCCACGTCCAGTGTTCCCTCTAAGCTGAGCGAGTGTGAGCCAGCTCACAGGTCTTTAGCCTCCAGCTCACACACTGTTGTCTCCGCTCGGGAAGGAGGGCTCCAGAGCAAACTGATTGATGCAGGAGCCAAATGGCTCGCTCACAACTTGAATGACAATGGCGCACAAAGTAGAATTTTGCTCACAAGACTCCACAGCTTAGAGGGAACATTGCCCACGCGTCCCCCGTGGGGGGGGTCTCCTCCAGGCCAGCTCTCCCGCCGCCTGGCACCCAGGGGAGCCGCTGCCGGCCAGAGCAGGCCCGGGGCAGGGGGCCACCGCCACTGCCTGAGCGCCACGTGCTGCTGGGAGCCCGGCAGAGAGGCGAGGAGAGCGGCCGGCCAACGGGGCCGGGGAGACGGGGGGCCGCACAAAGAGGGCTTTTTCTCTCTCCCCCCCCCCAACTCTTTCTGCTGCCCATCGGGGGTGGGGTGGGGGGCTTCTACTAGGCAGGATGCCTTCTTTTGCTGCCCTCTCCCTAAGGAGACCCCTCCCCTCTGCTCAGTATGTTTAGGTCCCTCCGCCCTCCTCCCCTTGCCTAAAGAATCCTGGAGTAAGGGCAGCGGAAGAACCCCCCGAGGTCATCTAGTCCGACCGTCAGGATCCGACTCCCTTGCAAACAAACCAAAAAAAGGTTCCTTCCTGTGAAGCACCAGCGCCCCCTGCTGCAGGGTGAAGAAAGCCAGGCGACTCTCTCCAGGGCTCCCCAAGGAATGTTAACCGCAGAGGGGACGTACTAAAACGAAAGACAGCGATTGCCCATAGTGAATACATGAGTGCCCATACAGAATAATGGAGAGTTGGCAGGACCAGAGGGGATAGTGCAGTACATCATTGCCAATAGAGAATCCATGACTGCCCTTAGGGAATAATGGAGAGGACGCTTGCCCAGAGGGGATAATAGAGTACATAATTGCCAACAGAGAATCCATGATTGCTCATAGAGACATAATGGCCAACAGAGAATCCATGATTGCCAAAAGTCATTTTGCCCAGAGGTCATTCCGGCTCCCCCAGCGGCCATACGCCAGAGGTCATTCTGGCTCCCCCAGCTCTTGAGAGGGGCTCTTTAAAAAGTTATGGCCGCCGGCGCTGTTCTCGGCGGCAGCTGCAACACCCGCAGGGGGGGCGAAACGTTCCCTTGCCTCCCTGAGCCCCGGGGTAGTGGCCTTGGACTCGTAGGGGCAAATTCCACCTCTCGCGTGTGATGCCCGAGCGGTGTTGCCATCACACGCGATGAGGTCATTCCGAGCGGCGGACATCACACGCGAGAGGTCATTCTGGCTCCTTCAGGTCTCCTTGGGGGCTCTTTTAAAAGTTATGGCCGCTGCTGTTCTCGGCGCAGTGCTCAGCTGCAGCTGCTGTGCCCGCGGGGGGGCGGGGTGAAACGTTCCCTTGCCTCCCTGAGCCCCAGGGTGGTGGCCTTGGACTCGTAGGGGCAAATTCCACCTCTTGCGTGTGATGGTCATTCTGACTCCCCCAGCTCTCAAGAGGGGCTCTTTAAAAAGTTATGGCCTCCGTTGCGTCGGTGGCAGCGCCGGGTAGTCCAAGGCGGTGGCGCAGGGGCACGCTTGGTGGCGGTGGGAACTGCTCTTGGCCAGCCTCTGCCACGCTTTCTGTGGCTCTCAGCCAGAGGCGGGGCGGGGGGAGCTCTGCAACCCCGGGGAGGAGCTTCTGGACACGTTTGTCCTTCGTTTTAGTACGTCCCGCTCCACCCCTGCAGAGTCGTGGGAGTCCAGGGGCCCCTTTAATACCATGACGAAGTTTCATTCTGGGTATACGCTTTCATGTACAGGCACACTCCTTCAGATACAGAGAAACCGAAATTCCTCAGCCATTACACGTAGAAAGAGAGAGGATGGGGGGGGCGATGCTCCCTCTAAGCTGTGGAGTCTTGTGAGCAAAAATTCTACTTGGTGAGCCGGCGATTTGGCTCCTGCATAAATTAGTTTGCTCCGGAGCCATCCCTTCCTGAGCTAAGACAAAAAACTGTGAGCTGGAGGCTAAGAACCTGTGAGCTAGCTCACACTCACTCAGCTTAGAGGGAACACTGGTGTGGGGGGGGGGGCGGGGGCCTGGGCCCAGGCCCCTGGACAAATCAACAACCTCACCCCTTGCATGTCTACTCAGCACTAAGCCCCCCTCTTGTGTTCAATGGAACTTAGTCCCAGGTAAATGTACAGGAGATTGAAGCTTCAACGCAGCGGGTTCTTGTGGACGACAGCACACCGAGGTGAAACTAGTAAATACAACCATGCAATTGGCCTGTCAGGCCACCCTTCCCTGATGTTAGGCATAGGTTGTGTGCATGTGAAAGTTTTTCAGATGCCACTGCTGTGGAAAAGTTGGTAGTCTCGGTCTGCACAGTCTCTTTGCAGTCTGATAGGCTCTCCCCAGTCTCTCTCCAATGTTTCTTCCAGCAGCTGAATAAAGGGAGAGCGCACCTTGTTTACCAGGGACGAAAGAAATTATGGCAGAATGCACTTCAGGGCACTTTAGTGATGTTCAGCTAACTCTAATTCCAGGCGGGCAGCCATTTCCCTCTGTTGGAGCAACACAAAACGGCAGCCCTGCGGTACCTCCAAGATTAGCCTTTATTCCAGAGCCAGCCTTTGTGACTCTGAGCTCACCTCTCCAGAGGCAATCAAATCGTGTCATATCTGAAGCAGCGAGCGCCGTCTCATAAAAGTGCAGTTAAAAACACTGCTAACTTCTCAGGCACCACCAGATTGCTGTTTGGTCCCTATCATGCGCAGATTGACCAGTGATATATTCAAGACTAAGAAGGGAAAAGTCCGCATGGTCAAAGCAATGGTATTCCCAGTAGTCACGTATGGCTGCGAGAGTTGGACTATAAGGAAGGCCAAGAGCCGAAGAATAGATTCTTTTGAACTATGGTGCTGGAGAAGACTCTTGAGAGCCCCTTGGACTGCCAGAAGATCAGATCAGTCAATCCTGAACAAAATCAACCCTGACTGTTCCCTGGAAGGCCAGATAATGAAACTGAAGCTCAAATACTTTGGCCACCCAATGAGAAGGGGGCACTCACTGGAGAAGACCCTGATGCTGGGAAAGATTGAAGGTCAAAGAAGACGGGGATGGCAAAGGATGAGATGGTTAGACAGTGTCATCGAGGCAACGACCGTGAAATTGAGCCGACTTCAGAGGACGGCGGAAGACAGGAGGGCCTGGCGGGAGCTGGTCCATGGGGTCGTGAAGAGTCGGACTCGACTGTGCGACTGAACAACAGCAAGAAGGGGAAAAACTGTTTGTAACCAAATATAAAGTTCCTCTGTGTGTGTGTGTTTGGCAGTGTAAGGGAAGGTTAAAAATCATAATACTCTCCATCACTTACACAAATGAAGAAGAGATTGGATTTATACCCCGCTCTTCACTTGGGAGTCTCAGAGCGGCTTACAAACTCCTTTCCCTTCCCCTCCCCAGAACAGACACCCTGTGAGGTAGGTGGGGCTGAGAGAGCTCTTGACAGGAACTGCCCTCGAGAGAACAGCTCTGACAGAACTAAGGCTGGCACAAGGTCATCCAGCAGCTGTAAGCGGAAGAGTGGGGAATCAAACCTGGTTCTCCCAGATTAGAGTCCGCACACTTAACCACTGCACCAAACTGGCACTACACCAAATGAAGAAGAGGAGGAGGAGGAGATTGGGATTATACCCCTTGCCCTTCACTTCCCGAAGGAGTCTCAGAGTGGCTTACAAGCTCCTTTCCCTTCCCCTCCCCACAACAGACACCCTGTGAGGGAGGTGGGGCTGAGAAAGCTCTTGACAGGAACTGCCCTTGAGAGAACAGCTCTGAGAGAACTTATGACTGACCCAAGGTCACACCAGCAGCTGCATGTGGAGGAGGAGTGGAGAATCAAACCCAGTTCTCCCAGATTGTAGGTGTCCAGGTGTAGCTGAGGCGTCCAGCAGATTCGTGATTTAGTGTCCTCCCTCTACACAGAGCTCAGACGATGTACACCAGTGTCTTTCGGATCCAGCTCTACCACTCATATTGCAAACAATGATGAAAACAACCGTGATGTGGTATTATGAAAATATATTTAGAAGAAGAAGAGATTGGATTTATACCCCGCCCTTCACTACCCAAGGGAGTCTCAGAGCGGCTTACAAACTCCTTTCCCTTCCCCTCCCCACAACAGACACCCTGTGAGGGAGGTGGGGCTGAGAAAGCTCTTGACAGGAACTGCCCTTGAGAGAACAGCTCTGAGAGAACTTATGACTGACCCAAGGTCATCCAGCAGCTGTAAGTGGAGGCGTGGGGAATCAAACCCGGTTCTCCCAGATTAGAGTCCGCACACTTAACCACCACACCAAACTGGTTTAGACTGCTATTTTGCAGTGAGTAGTGTTTCTTCTACAAGGAATAAAGATGTACGCATATGCAAAACAGCCGTCTAAATATATTTTCATAATACCACATCACGGCTGTTTTCATCACTGTTTGCATCCTTCCTGTGATCTCTGTGTTGTTTCCACACTACCTCTCATACTGGCTGTTACTAAAGCCAGATTGGAGTCCAGAAGCAACTCAGACCAAACGGATTTCCAGGGTATGAGCTTTCGAAGACTTAGGGTTGGTCCCGAAGGGGCTACTGAACTCTGAGCGAGTTCTATCTGCAGACCAACCTGGTGGAACGAGCTCCCGGAGGAGATCCGGGCCCTGCGGGACCTTGTGCAGTTCTGCAAGGCCTGCAAGACGGAGCTCTTCCGCCAGGCTTTTGAGTAGGATCCGCCACCGCCACTAGTCCACCACCGTGGTACTGTTCCATCATTTACCCCTATTATGGGGGGTATGCATCGCCT